TCCTGCACCCCTCACTCACCACCCCTGCTCCTCTAGGGATCCCCCCCCTTCTCTTCCATTCTAGCCTGCCCTCTTGCCTTTACTTCCCTCTTTCATTCTTCGATCCCTTTCCTCCATCCATCCCTCCATTCTAATTTCCCTTTCGGTACTCAAGCAACATTTGTGTTTTAGTGGTTAAGGAAGGGGTGAGTGAAGGGAAACAATCTCACATGGTTGATCTGGGAGTGCAGGGGGGCTACCCAGAGGCGGCCAAGGATCTGAGCCAGGAGACAGGAAAGGGATTACTTCTCTGGGATTAGGAAGAGGGAATGTAGAGGATGCCCAGAACCTTGTTCCTAACCCTCCAGTCCCCTTTGCTGCTTCTGCACGCTCTGAGTACATAGTCATCCAGGAGTTTACCTGGCAGGAGCCTCAGCAGTGGCTGCATCAAGGAGAGTCAGAAGGCTTTGTCCATGGAGGGGGACAAGGGGAGCTGAGCAGCTGGCTCTGGCGCTTGTGTGTGAGCCTCATTGTAATGCTCTAATAAATCAGCTTGTCCAGACATGGCTGGCATTCTCTTTGATATTTCCTCCTCCGGGAGGGTAATGGAACTACCAGAAGGAGCACTCCCTTCCCCATTAGTGATTATATTACCATATAGCAGGTGTTTTCCCCCTAAATGATCCCCTGACTTCCTTCTGGCACACTGTTCCCTTGGTGAGTCCTTCAACTTTCCCTCAGATACTGTCTATCCTCGCCCCCACCGCCCCCATCCCTACTCCCACCGTGATCACCCATTGCCACAGAGAAAGGAACAGCTAGAGCTGCCTGCCAGTGGACAGTGCTATGCATGTCCACTGATGTTTTGAATAGCAGTTGGACTGAGAGCTCTGAGAGTCTTCCGCCTGGAAACCTAGGAGAGACCCCAGTACAGGTCTCTGCGTAAAGCCAAACTCCTGTTCCTGGGAGAGCAGAGTGATGGAGGTTTGTGTTGGGCTTGGGGGATAAGGAGGTGTGACAGTATGGAATTGGGTAGAAGCTGCTCTGGTTCGCCCATGGTGACAAATGGCTTACTCCTCTATCTCACAGTGGGGAAGACATCAATCACCACTTGCTTCAATGATTAAGCTTCAACTGCACTGGTCAAGTGAGCCCTCCACCAAGGCATCATGAGGTACATTTTTGCCCCCTTTCTTGGCCCTTTCACCCAGGCATTCTGCTCAAAGTGATCTATTGTAAGTGTTGAGAAGTTGAGCAGGACAACCTTTTCAAGGGCCATTCTCCACTATAGTTCTAAGGCTGTCTGGTATTGGGGGAGAGGAGTACAAAGTATCTCTATTTACAGGCAACCATTGGATTGACTTTCTAAGATAATGTACTTGGAGGACTAAATAGTGAATGTTCACCCTCATATCATTAACCCTATACCTCAATCACTTGGGCATATGGGTCACAATGGGGTAGTCTTATCACTACTTGGTCCCTTACATAATTTCTCATTACCCCAGATTATTTATGGATAAAGGGGAAAGCATGAAGCAGCCCTGTTCTGTTTCTTGTTCTCTGTCCTTATTTAAACTTCAACAGTAACACAGACAAAATCCAAGAGGCCTTGAAGTCTTAATCTGCTGCTCTACAGGGTTTTCCTTAATCAAAACAGTATTAACATTGGATCTGTCCTAGAATGGTAGGTCACTTGGTTTGTGGCCATAGTAGCCAGTATTAAGGGACCGAGATTCCTTGACTCTTTTTATTTTGCCTTTAAGTCCTACCCTTTAAAGGGCTAGTTTCTTGTCTATCTTTCTCCACCTTTGTTTTATGCAGGTTCAACTGCATCTATGGGATATAGCTGACCAGCACCACTTTTGCAACCTAATTCCTAGCTACATTATAATTCAATATTTGCAAGGGTTGTCTATGACATCACAAGGGGGGTGTTATGCTGTTTTATTTGAAAAAGGGATTGAGGTATGCAATAGGGAGTTTGGTGGGAAAAGGTGAGAGGAAGGACAGATACTTTATTCTCTCTAAACCGCTACTGTTTCAACACTCTACAACACATTCTCTTGTATACATCAATTCTTTCAGAGACAGATAAATGGGTAGAAGATGTTCAGGAAGAAAGGTGATAATGTAGCCATCATGTTGGTAGTTAAGATTGATCCAAACAAAAGGTAAGGTGTAACTACAACTTTTTCTGGAATACCTAGAGATTCATCTCTGTGGGGAGAGTCTACTAAGCTCTATTTACTTGGGAGAAGTTACCAGTTTCCAGGGTCAGGAAGATTATGGATTCAAGGCTTCTAGGGTTCCTATTCCTAGAGAGGCATCATTATACTTAAGAAGGATCTATTTCTATCCACTAAATCTGGACAGAAAGGGTCTTATCACTACCTGGTCCCTTACATAATTTCTCATTTGTCCAGACAAGTCTCTACAGAAAAGGGGAAGAAAAATCCAGACTTCAATATAATGTTTATTGAAACCAGTTATAATGTAAAAAATAACTACTCTTTATAATTCCCTGACACTCTTGGCTCTAGCCACCCACCACTGCTTACTCTTTCAGATAACATTGGCTTGTGCTATCATGGGGTGAGGGTATGGTTCATGTCCCCATTATGCAGTGAAAAAGTCCAGAATCATGTCTTTTTCCTTTTGTCCATCACCATTCTCTCTCCCTCCATCACCACCTCTCTCTCACACACTCACACAGAGATATTCATGTGCATTGCTTCTGACCTTCCTTCCAGAAGTAATTCATCTCCATTGAAGGAAGAAGAGTGTCCTTTATTCCAGCCTTTTTTCTCGGATAGAGTTACAAGCAGAGAAGGCAAACTTCCCTTGCTGAGTTGATGGCCAGGCCAATTTCTCTCCCTAATATTGAAGAGACAAGGGACTAACTCAGTCCAAAGTAGTTCCCTGGTTTGCCTTTTCGTGAAAGGGATCGTAAAATCAGAATTCCTCTTGTCTTCTAGAAGCTGCTCCTGAGAGTTGGAGTTTTGACCCCAGCCACCTCTCTATTACTTTCCTTAACACACTTCAGTGGTTGAAATCTAACCGGAGCCCTCTGACGCATCAGGCATCAAAAGTCATTGTTCCTGTTGATAGCTTAAGCCAGTGGTCAGCAAACTCATTAGTCAACAGAGCCAAATATCCACAGTACGATTGAAATTTCTTTTGAGAGCCTAATTTTTAATGTGGAAGAGCCACACTTAAGGGGCCAAAGAACCATATGTGGCTCGTGAGCCACAGTTTGCCAACCACGGGCTTAAGCTGTTTGCCTAATTTGATGAATTTATTGCATTTGGGCATCCCAGTACCAGTCCTTACCCTCCACCCTCAGGTTTATGGTTAAATACTAAGCCACTTACTAAGCTCTCGTCTAATTATGGGACTTCGAGGTAAAACAAAGCACCTAGAAGTGCTAGCATTTCTTCCTTGCCTGCATCTCAGTTATGGGTGGAAAGTTCTTGCAGGGCTCAGGAATCTCACTTTACCTTCACTGATCACTAAGAACAGCATCACTATAGGGGATGCAGTTCTACAGCAGCTGGGATACCTCAAAGGCCAATACACTTCATTCTCCAGTTTTGTTATCTACACCCTCAATAAACTGGTCCTTTTGCCTCAGAGGCCTGTTACTGCTTGCACTTTCTCCATGCTATACCTATACTTCCACAATGCAATTGCATCTGGTACTCCTACCAACACTGAACCATTCCAAGCACCACAGAGTGAGAACCAATTTAGGGCAGGAGGAGTTTTGCCTCCTAGGCCCATGGTACCTGGCTGGGACTTTTTACAGTTTACACCTCTTAGATGAGTTGTTAACAATAGGGATAGTCTTGGATCTCAACATTCAGTAGATTCAGCCAATATGCCTTTGTGCAAGTAGGTTTCTTTCTCATATGGCCACTGGGGGGCAGCAGAGCAGTAGGAACAGAGTAAAAGGGAATTTCCATGAAATACAGACTGCTAAATGAGTTCTGCCTCCAGCTCTGCACACAAGGATGTTGCTACCTAACAATGGCACCAAGCCTCTAGAGCACATGTGTCAAACACAAGGCCCGCGGGCCAAATCCGTCCCGCCAGGCCTTGCAATGTGGCCCGCACCGCGCTGTCATCACTGCACTCCGCTGCGTTTCCATCACAATGACAGTTTATGACTGTTCAGTAAACCATTCGGCCCGCGATTTAGGCTGAATTTTAGATTTTGGCCCCTTCTCTGATTGAGTTCGACACCCCTACTCTAGAAGATGTACCATAGCAGAGCTGGGATGGATTTACAGGAAGATCCAGAACTTCCTCATAGAGATACAGCACTACTACTGTATTTAGAACTGTTTCCCTTATTTGAAGACTTATTTACCTTACTTAAAATTTTCAGATTTCCAGGCTCCACCTCAGACCAACAAAATCACTCTAGAGGGGAAGGGGACTGGAAATATATACTTAAGCTTCCCAGCATTCTTTTAAGGAAAAATTGGGACTTTCATTATGAGGGAACTTCATCATATGTCTTATTAGAAAAGTTTCTATTCTGAATGGGTATTTTGAACATGCCAATGAAAATGACATAAAGTGTGGCCTGGAATCTCTAACAAAAGATTGTGACTAAAGAACTAAAAACATGGCAGAAGGTTATTTAGGGGCTGGGGTGAAGAAAAGGGGGAAGTCAGCTGTCAGTACTACTTAACCTACAAGTTGGAAATTGGGAACCAATTTCTTACTGTTATCCCTGAAAATAAATGCATGTAAGCCTCTCCCTTAGTTTATGTTCTGGTTCAAAGAATCAGGGAAAGGAGAGGACAGAACAATATTAATACTGCTCCCCTCCCCCTATTCCTAAGAGAATTGTCCAAAGATCACAGAGGAAATGGCAGGTTTTCTCCAGTACTCTCCACCTTATACCATTCCTCAGCTATACTGTAGCTAAGATTTCCCGGCCTCCCTGCTGTTCTGGGCAAATAGAGATAATTGTCAAGTAGGTAGCGTTGCTCTGTTACATCGTGCGGCTCTTATCTTTGAAAGAGCTTTTATTTTTGTCTCAATAGCATTTTACACTCAATGAGTATCATCCAAAAGCCACACCGACATTTCTTCAGCATGGCGTTTTCCTTTCTGGAGGAGAGAATAGGAGGGAGAGGAGGGAAAACAGGGTCCTAAGGGAGTCTCAGAAATGCCTGAGACTGTATGTGGCTTCCCTGAGGTTCCCAGCTTGTCCTAGAAGATTTCAAGTGAGGGGTTGTGGGCTGCAGCTCTCTAGTGCACAGTCCTCTCTTTTTGGCGATGATAATCTGGGGAAAAGAAAAAAGAAAAGGAGGAAATAAGCAGGTTATCTTGAGGCCTGAGCTCCCAACTCATGGGGCCTCTAATAATCAGGACTTCAAGAGTTCCTACCCAGGGCCCTTCCAAGTAAGAAAAGAGAGAGTGACACTTACTGTAGGGAAAGAAGCGGACACGCATGCTGATTTCACGAGCTGTCTTCAGGATCTCAACAGCCTGAAGTGAGCAAAACAGCTTGTACAAATGAAGATATAACCCAGGACAGAATCATAACAGGAGGAAAGTCATTTGCCACTCCAACCTTCTAGGTCACTAACAGCTGCTTCCTTCTGTACACTTCCTCAGGAGAGATTCTTTCTGACCAAGCTACATACAGATTAGGCCAGTGGTTGGCAAACTCATTAGTCAACAGAGCCAAACATCAACAGTACAATGACTGAAATTTCCTTTGAGAGCCAAAAACATGACTTCTGCACACGGGCCACGAAGTTTCAATCACACTATACGTGTGCGTCCACACTTGGTATTTTGTGGAAGAGCCACATTCAAGGGGCCAAAGAGCTGCATGTGGCTTGAGAGCAAGTTTGCTGACCACTGGATTAGGCTAATCCTGTCCAACTTGTCCTACCTGGGATCGCTTTTTGCCTCACCACAGCCCAAGTGCTGTGCTTACCTTGCTATGCTCAATATCTTGGAAATCCACATCATTCACAGCTAGGACTTGGTCCCCTTCCTGAAGTCCTGCTCGATGTGCGTCAGAGTCTGGGATCACCTGTTGGTAAGGAGAGAATATGTCTGATTGAGGTGGGATGATTTCAAACACTGTAAGTGAAATTAAGTGCTATCCAAACATAAGGTTCTGGGATGTGTGTGTGTGTGTGTGTGTGTGTGTGTGTGTGTACGCACATGTGCGTGAAAATGTAGGGAAACAGATGCTTGCCAGATGGGAAGTTTTAAGTGGGAAAGTGGGAAAGAGTTCCCCCATTATGCCCTTCTAAGAGTCCACTACATCATCCTTCTCCCAGGCTCTGGGAAATCACAGTTCTGCAATCTGATAACGAAGGGAAGTAGCTATCCATACTGCCTCCCAGGTACACTCACTCACCTTGGAGATGAAGATGCCTAGCTGGGAGGCCTTTCCTCCTCGGATGTTAAATCCCAACTGCAAGACAAGAGCACAGAATGGGAGCTCAATATTGACAACAAACACAAGAATATCTAGTAGCATCACTATATGATAGCTTGGCTATATGTCCGTCAGAGAGAAGTCAGAAGTTATGGAAATGGTACCTCAGCTTTCTGCCCAGTAAAGGTAGTATCCTTACCTCCTTACCTGCTTCCCTATCTGTACTCCCAACCACAGCTGACTTCTAGGTCTGGTGTGAACAAATTTAGCCTGGAATAAGACATCATTGTTCCATTAGCTCACCTGAGCTCCAGGGGGCTTCTTTAGTGTGACGGTTCGTGGCAGAAACTGGGTCAACTCATTGTTGTAGTCTGGGTGGTATACTCTCTGCAAGACACAGCAACCCCAGAAATCTTACTACCAGTCTTAGATTTTATAACCATCTTCATCTGGAACACAAATGTATCACCCTGAAGTCAGGAAAAGGTAAAGTCATGGACTTAGTTTAAAGAGGACAGATAACACTGTCCAAATGGGTAGGTGAATAGTTTGGGGCAATGCTAGTAGTCCAGTAGCTCTCCACTTCTTTGACAGAATTGAAAGAAGGGCTCTGAATTTCAAGAATTCTCTGGTATGAATGGACTCTGGAAGGAGGCTTCCATACGCTTTCAATGGGCCCAGTTGCTCAGAATCCAATTTCTGAGTCCCTTGGCTACAACAAAGGCTAAGAATCATTCTCCATTAAGTTTTCTAACCCTGCTATCCTACCTTTCATATATCATCTCATGCCCATGGGGAAAAATCAGCTATTCAAGATTATAGATGGTTCCCACCTCATGAGGAGGAATCCATGCTGGGGGATTCTCATAGGGAGGCAGGAAAACCACTGGGTAGTCATCATAAGGAATTCTGCTGTCCATCTCTGGCAAGGCTCTGGAATGGAAGAGTGAATCAAAACTGACAAAGATGGCTCAAAAGGGAGAGTAGCCCAGCAAGTTTCAGAAAACAACTCCAACCTATCTAAGGCTTTCAACTATGGTATCAGCTCACTTCTAGGTGATAGATTGGTGGAAAGAAGGAAGAAAACAGATGGAAGAAAACAATGAACTTTTCTGGATATCTGGATGCCAAGCAACCTGCTAGGTCCTCTATAGAGATGATGTCCTTTTTCACAACCTGAAAAATAGATGTTACTCTCTTCAACCTAGAGAAGAGGCAAGCAGGATGGCATCTCAAAAGATCTGTCTACTTTCAAAGTCCAAGGGAGTGCTGACACCACTATCCACAGGTGTTGTATGTGGCAGGCATGGCATCAGGCGTTACACCCATGGGGACAGATGGTATCTAGGTTCTGCAACCTTGGTACTTGAATTCTGGCTAAGAAAGACTTTACAGTTAAGACCCAAACTATAAGAGAACATTTATTTATAAAATCACAAAGATGGAAGAAGTAATCTGTAGACGAGGTGGGCTTAGGAAACAAGTTATAGAGGAAGATAATGGTGAGGAGTCTGGGGGGGGGGGGCGCAGCGGTGCAGGGGTAAAGGGAAAGGCACTGGAGTGCTCCCTGGAGGGAGAGAGCACCCTAAGGGTTTTAAGAGTGGAGATATTAGGAGAGGTCCAAGGGGAAGATCTCAATAGACTTATTTAGCCGTTTTCCAGGTGTGTCCTTTTTTTTTTTTTAATATATTTTATTGATTTTTGTACAGAGTGGAAGGGAGAGAGAGAGAGAGTTCGAAACATCAATGAGAGAGAGTCATCGATCAGCTGCCTCTTGCACACTCCCTACTGGGGATATGCCCACAAGCAAGGTACATGCCCTTGACCGGAATTGAACCCAGGGCCCTTCAGTCCCCAAGCTGACGCTCTATCTATCCATTGAGCAAAACCGGTCCCGGCCAGGTGTGTCCTTTCAAGGTCTAGGTCTCTACTGATTGACAGGAGGGCACCAGAGTGGGAGCGGGGTCATTATCCAATGCAGCTGGTCCTGAGGTCAGCTGTGGCTGCTTTTTTTGCTTATCTGGTCCTGGAGCTGAAATAAACCTGAGGCTTAGATGTTATCTCTAGGGAGGAAAAGTTAGGGGGTCCAAACTGCTTAACCATGTATATGCTATGCTAGGCCCTAGCAGCTAGGGGAGGAAATGTCACTCTGGGGCAAGATCCCACCCTACAATTGTCCTTTGCTAGGCATCCGGGGCTTTCCACCCTGGTGACCTTGGGTACCTGGCCCTTCCTCCTCGCTCTGCTCACGTCAAACTGCCCACCACACAGGGACTGGAGGCATGGCACCGCCCACATTCCCTAGATGTGATCGGTAATTGTGACGGTTCCCATATCAACCCTTTTTTCGCCCTCTGCCCCCTTCAAACCTCCTCCCCGCCTCCCGCCTGAGCTCCGCGCGTTCTAAGAAGTAACCGCCGTGATATCTCACCTGCCAACAAGGCCTCGGCCAGCGCAGGTTCCGCGCGCCGCCAAATCAGCCTGAGAACCGGAAGCAGATGCTACGACTGGTCCCGAGGGGCGGGATCGACGTGCGGCGCGCAGGCCCACCCCTTCCTACAGCGTCTGCGCACACCGACGTGCGTGCGCCTCCGGCCGCCTGTCTGCGTTCCGATTGGCTGGCGTCTCCAGGGCCCATTTGAAACTTGGCGGTTAAATATCCGGTTAGGACAGGGCAGCGGGAAGACCAGGGAAGGTACGTTTAGTTTGGCGAGCGAAGGGGATACACCTTAGGAACTGCCTTTCCCGGTGCCCTGGGGCTGTGGGTCTTTGCCGACGCCTCCACCGGGGGTTTCCTTTCCATTTAGAGGACACGTCGCCGTTTTTAGAGTATCGGGCTGCCGGGCCGTCTTGTGTTCGCCAAATCCGAGGGAGAGTGACCTTCCAGCGGCTGCGACCCTGCTGAGAGAAGGGGCTGCCTCACCGACGCTGAGGTCAGTAACCCATCCCCACCCCCTGCGGATGGTCGGAATTCCGGAAGGACGCTCTCCCACCGCAGCCAGCCCACCGAGATTCATCAGCAAGCCTCTTTTCTTTTTTTTTCCGTCAGAGACGGTGCTGAGGTAGGATCATGACTGAAGAGGTGAAGGGAATTCCTGTAAGAGTGGCATTACGATGTCGCCCTCTGGTTCCCAAAGAGATTAGCGAGGGCTGTCAGACGTGCCTTTCCTTTGTACCCGGAGAACCACAGGTGCGTAAAAGTCCGGGGCCCGCATCGGGACACCTCAGGCCAATGGACAGTGAGGGGTGTGGTCTGGCCTTTCATCTTTTTTTTTCTTACTCTTTTCTCCTAGGTGGTGGTTGGTACTGACAAATCCTTCACCTATGACTTTGTGTTTGACCCTTCTGCTGAGCAGGAGGAAGTCTTCAATACAGCAGTAGCACCACTCATAAAAGACATATTTAAAGGTGAGACTATTTCATTCATCAAATGGTTCTTGAGCATATATTATGCTACTGTGCTTGGATGTTGTGAATACAGGAGTGGATGAAACATGAGTCCTGAATTTAAAAAGTCCCCAGTCTCTGTATCCTTGACACTAGTTTTGTACTGTATTTGCTTTCTGTGGTTCTGCTCATCTTTGATATCTATATATTCCATTAATTTTTAGACAGTGGGAGGTAAGGAAGGGGAAAGAGAGAGAAAGGGAGACATATATTTTTGTTTGTCCTGGAACGTTATTAGATTCTAAGCTGTTTGATGGGGGCTGATGATAATTAGTATGCCAAACTACTCGAGGCTCAAGCACTGCAAGACCTGTGAAAAGATTAAAAAATGAATAATAATAGCTTCCAGGCCCTGCAGGACTACAAAGTTTAGGGATGGGAGTAGAAGTAGATGACTATACACATACTTTTTGATGCATAAAAAAATTGTTAAACTTTTTGCACTCATCTTTAAGGAAAAGTATTTTAGGAGTTGAAAATATACAATAGAATCAATCAGTCCTGCTCTAGAAGTAGCAGTGCTTTTATGCAAAGTGGATGACACAAACTCTATTTGGGGAATCCAGTGAATTTCACAGCATAGGGAACCTTTGAGATAAGTCTTGAATGATGAGTAGAATTCTTTTACGTAAAGGAAATTTCCTAAAGTCCCTGAATACTCTGGCCAGTTACTAATCTTTATTGCAGAAGTGAAGCCTTTAGTGTTATTAAAGACCATAGCAGGGCTCTGAAGAAGGGGGAAGTGCCTAGGAGGTCTTTATTATTCTAGGACAGTGGTTACTCAGGATTCAAAGCATAGGGCTACTTAAAAGAAATAGCAGCAGTAGAGCGTCGGTCTGCGGACTGAAAGGTCCCAGGTTCGATTCCGGTCAAGGGCATGTACCTTGGTTGCGGGCACATCCCCGGTAGGGGGTGTGCAAGAGGCAGCTGGTCGATGTTTCTCTCTCACCGACGTTTCTAGCTCTCTAACTCTCTCCCTTCCTCTCTGTAAAAAATCAATAAAATATATTTTTTAAAAAAGAAATAGAACCATGACATACTAGTCCTATAAAGTTGAAACGGACATTTACATCATCTAGTCTAGCTTTCAAAAGAAAAATGCTTTCTAGCAATACCTTTGTAAAGTGAACTTCCATTGTCTATTTAATTCCTTTTTTGTACAGGGAACTCACTGACTCACAGTGTAGTCCTGTTGATTGGTTCTCAGACAACTCTTATTATATTAGTTTATACTGAGATGAAATTTGCCTCCTGGTAATTTCTACCCAGTGATGTTAGTTTATCTCTCTGGAGTCTACAGAAGCCTTCTTCCAGGCCACAGCAATTCACATTGTATTTTTTTTTCCCACTTTTTAAGTGATATCATGACTCTGAATATCTGAATACTTGTTTTAAATTTTTAAAAGTGATAATCTCAAACTTATACAAATGTTGCAAGAATAGCATAAAAAACGTTTTTCCTGAACCATTTGGAATTAGTTGTTGAACTGATGCCCCCTGAATAGTGTATATATGCTACAAACAAGGACTTTCTGCTACATAACTACAATACCACCATCAAAATAATGAAATTAGCATTGTTATAATAGTACTATCCAGTCCTCAGACCTCATTCTAGTTTCACCAATTGTCTCAATTACGTCCTTTATAGCAGAGGGTCTAGTTCAAATTCACGTTATATTTATTTGTACTGCCTCTGTAGTCTCCTTCATTCTAAAATTCCTTCATTCTCTTTTTTACTTTCATACTCATGACACTTTTGAAGATCCACAGGCCAGTTATTTTATAAAACATTTCCATTTTTTTAAAATATATATTTTATTGATTTTGTACAGAGAGAAAGGGAGAGAGAGAGTTAGAAACATCGATGAGAGAGAGTCATCGATTAGCTGCCTCTTGCACACCCCCCACTGAGGATATGCCCGTAACCAAGGTACATGCCCTTGACCAGAATCGAACCCGGGACCCTTCAGTCCCCAAGCCAACACTCTATCCATTGAGCCAAACCAGTTTCGGCAAAACATTTCTAATTTTTGGTTTGTCTGCTATTTACTTCTGATTAGATTCAGGTTCTCTTTGAATCCTGTCAGTCAACACATGATTTTGTTTTGTTCCATTACTGTTGATATTCATTTTGAGATCTTGATGGAGGCTTTAGCAGGGGAGTGCAGCTACTCATGTACCCTTGCCCTGAATACAGTCCTCTCCTCTATCTGGAAATGTTCTCTTCAACCAAGCTTGCAGCTTCTAGAGGGGGATACACTTGGATCAGTGAGGGAGGAAGAGGACACCTGCCTACCCAGCCAGATCAGCCAGACCAACTGTGGCGATCAGTGGTGTGACAGATGTTGCAGCCAGAGGGCCCTCACATCCTGATGTTCATTTTGATCATTTGATTAAGGTGTTATTTGCCAAGTTTCTCCACTATAAAGTTCATCTTTTTCTTATTTACATATTTGAAAGACCATCATATGATTCTAATTCTCTTCTCATTAACCATCCTTCCTTTCCTTTAGCCATTCCTGAAAAAAAATATGGTTTCCAGAGCCTTCATTATCTGGGCATCTTCCTCAGATTGTACCTTTACAGTTTAGTAAGAGTGCTATATTTCATATTTTTAAGTTGGGAAACTATGAGAATTAAATTATAGTCTTTAGAAGCAATATAATGTAGAAAATGATTTCAACATATATGTGTTTGGTTAACATTGCTCTGTAAAGACAACTAGTATTTTTCAGTCAGCTCAACAGTACTTTCTTGTACTCTGAACTCTCAATACCACAGAGTGCTTTGTAAAAAGTACTACAACTTAGTTTTCACAATTATTACTATACTGTAGTATTGCAGAAGATTATGGAATGTTATTCTCTTGATCTATAATCATGCCATACTATACCATACGAGGTGATACTAGCATTCTACTAGTGAAATCTCAATTTAACATATTTTTTCCCCTTTATTGATTAAGGTATTATATATGTGTCTTTATTCCTCCATTACACCCCCACTCCAATCATGCCCTCACCCCCCTGGTGTCTGTATCCATTGCTTAGATTTATACGGATGCATACAAGTCCTTTGGTTGACCTTACCCCACTCTCCCCTACCTTCCCTCTGAGATTTGATGGTCTGATTCATGCTTCACTGTCTCTGGATCTGTTTTTTCCCCCCATCATTTCAAGTTGTTCATTATATTCCACAAATGAGTGAGATCATATGATATGTATCTTTCTCTGACTGACTTATTTCATAATCCTCTCCAGGTTCATCCATGCTGTTGCAAATGGTAGGAATTTCTTCCTTTCTACAGCAGCATAGTATTCCATTGCATAGATGTACCACAGTTTTTTTTTAATCCACTCATCTGCTGATGGGGACCTAGGCTGTTTCCAAATCTTAGCTCTGGTAAATTGTGCTGCTATGAAATAGGGTGCATATATCCTTTCTGATTGGTGTTTCCAGTTTCTTAGGACATATTCCTAGGAGTGGAATTACTGGGTCAAATGGGAGTTCCACTTTTAGTTTTTTGAGGAAACTCCATACTGTTCTTCACAGTGGCTGCACCAGTCTGCATTCCCACCAGCAGTGCACGAGGGTTCCGTTTTTTTGGTGTCCTCACCAGCATTTGGGATTTGTTGATTAGTTGATGATAGCTATTCTGACAGGCGTGAGATAGTACTTCATTGTTGTTTTGATTTGCATCTCTCGGATGATTAGTAACTTTGAGCATCTATACTAATGATAGAGGAATATGCAAATTGTCCAGGACACCATCACAGTAATGACCAAACAGCAGGCTGTGTGGGGCGACTGGGCTGGCAAGGAATTTTGTGAGGAACAACCAAACATTTGAATATCAGACTGCATGGGGTGACAAGGCCGGCAAGGGGGTTAGTGAGGAATCACCAAATGTCTGAACAGCAGGCTGCATGGGCAACCAGGCCGATGGGGAGGGGTAGGGGGGACAGTTAGGGATGACCAGGCTGGCAGAGGGGGTAATTGGAGATGACCAGGCTGGTGGGGGGGGCAGTAAGGGGCAATCAGGCAGGCAGGCAGGTGAGCAGTTAGGAGCCAGCGGTTCCGGATTGTGAGAGGGATTTCCGAAGTGTCCTGGATTGGAGAGAGTGCAGGCAGGGCTGAGGGAATCCCCAGCCCCTTGTACAAATTCGTGCACCGGGCCTCTAGTGTTTTCATATGTCTCTTGGCTTTATGTCCTCTTTTTAAAATTACCTATTTAGGTCTGTTGCCCATTTTTTTATTGGATTATCTTCCTTTTCTAAAGTTGTATGAGTTCCCTGTAAATGTTGAAGATTAAACCCTTACCAGAGATAACATTGGCAAATAAGTTCTCCCATGCAGTGTGCTTTCTTATTGTTTTGGTGATGGTTTGTTTTGCTGTGCAGAAGCTTATTTTGATGTAGTTCCATTTGTTTATTTTCTCTTTAGTTTCCAGTGCCCTAGGAGCTGTATCGAAGAAGATATTGCTTCGGCATATGTCTGAGATTTTGCTGCCTGTGGATTCCTCTAAGATTTTTATGGTTTCCCATCTTACATTTAAGTCCATTATCCATTTTGAGTTTTTTTTGTGTATAATGTAAATTGGTGGTCTAGTTTCACTTTTTGCATGTATCTGTTCAATTTTCCCAGCACCATTTATTGAAGAGACTGTCTTGACTCTATTGTATGCTCTTGCCTCCTTTGTCAAATATTAATTAAGCAGAGTGGTTTGGGTTAATTTCTGGATTCTCTATTCTATTCCATTGGTTTATATGTCTGATCTTGTGCAGGCAGTTTTGAGAACCATGATTTTGTAATACAGCTTGATATCTGGTATTGAGATCCCTCCTACTTTATTGAGAAAGAAAGTTCTTCTTTCTCAGGATTGCTGCAGCTATTTGGGGTATTTTTTTTTCCAAATGAATTTTTGGAGAGTTCATTCTAGGTCTGTGAAATATGTCATT